TTGTCTTCCGGGAAGAGGGCATGGTATAAGGTGCCCACCTTGAAGGCGTCGGTAAAACCATGGTTGGGACACTTGAGGAAAAGACTGGTGTATCTCTCCAAGCATCCCGAATGGTCTCATCTTCATCCTGAGTAAAGTGGGTGATTTGCTTCTGCAGGTTCGCCGTCTTGGACGAAGGATGGTAGCGGGTGAGGAACTTGTCCGCCAGGTTGGCAAACGTGGTGATCGAGCCTGGAGGTTGAGTGTCCAACCACTCCTTGGCTTGCCCCTCCAGAGTAAATGGGAAGTGCCTGAGCTGGATGGCATCAGCTGGGACCCCATTGATCTTGATCCCATCGATGAGCTCGTGGAATCACCTCAGGTGTGATCAGGGGCACTCCCCCCTCCTTGCCACGGAATACCACCGAGCCGTGCAGCATGGTGATGACAGAGGTGCTCACCTCAAAGTTATTTGCTGGAACTTGAGGGTGCTGGATGGGCGACCTCATGTCCGCGGCTCTAGCGGTCCAATAGTACCCCATGGTCTGCTGCTCGGGAAAGACCACATCTTTGTTCTGTGGTTCACCCATTTCTTCCTCCTCGGTGATTTGCAGTTGTGCTAGAGCCTCCTCCGCAGCCAGTCGCGCCTTTAAAGCTCGCTTGAAGTTCCTGCAAGTCCGTTCAACCTCTTGGTCTAATGGCAGTAAATCTCCTGACTGGCTACGAGTCATGCACTACCTGCACGCAGTCAGCAAAAGCAACCAGTGAAGGCACACAGGTGGAAGAGAGAAAATGCTAAAGTAATAAACTTTCACGTTTCCACAATAACCTAGAGTTCCCCAGCAACGGCGCCAAAAACTTGACACGCTAAAACACAACACCAAACTGCGACCAAGTGTAATCGCAGTCCGGAAATGCAGTAAGTGGCAAGCTCTATTTGTCAACCCGGGGTCTAGATCTACTACCTACTTAGTGATTATCTATTATCTAGCAAACTAAGTCGAGTGATTGTGATTTTAACTAAAAGCAGTAAGAAAGTAGGAAATGATTCAAAGTTCTTTAGCAAGGGAAGAGTCACTCGGGAATGAGTCCCCCTAGCTCCTTAGTTAGGTCAAGGTTGTAATTACCCTGGATTGATTAACTGTTGATTAAACTGCGGAAGATCCGACAGTAGCATGAAATCTCTTAAGCTGACCAAGCCCTCTCAGGCAGGCTAACCGACAGGAAACTAACCTTCACCAGATAGACTGCTGAGGCAATAAGCCCAAAACTCCACTACTGGAATTGGGTTCCAGTACAAAGCAGTAAATCAATTAACTCTCGTAAATTGATTAGTTGGACAGAGATTTGGTTAGGATGGAGGAGGTAGCTCTGAAGGATTACAAATTGAAGTTGACAGCCAGATTTTTGGAACTGGTTTCACACCAAAAGAGATGATCAGGCTTAGAGGAATTCTACATATGTCAAATTCATCCTCCCCAACCTCTCCACAAAGTCCAGTAATCAATCACAGAGTACATTCAGTCAATACTTATCTCCCACAGTTTCCAAACTCTGGAGGTAATATGTTCTCTCTTCCTATCTGAATCATAGCAATGCATCTTTGGCAACTACATGGATACTGGATATAGGTACCTCAGACCATATTGCTTGTTCCTAATGAAGATCAGTTCACTTTAACGTTTCGAAGTGAGGGAGTGATCGATTTATTCCGGGCAGATTATTAATAGTGGTTAGCACGTATCAATAAATACCCCCATCATAGGCCAAGTTTACCCTAAAATGGCATTATTTATAATGGCAATCAAGGTCGTATTCACTCGGGTCCCGGTACCCTAGTCTACTTCCCACGTTGTTGTTACCTAGCCGATCAGTTTAAGGGTTTGTGTTGGAGGATTCAAGCGAAATAACTAGTAGAGAGAGTAAATAAAGATAAAAGTAGGTACTTCGGGTAACTACCCTCACCCTAGCCTAGGTCTACTATGCAATGTCTTGATAAGTAGGGTTTGTCGAATGTAATGAGTGAGCTCTTTTTCATGGACTTTCATGGTTATCCACACGCCTTCGAGTACGCCTCTCCCAAACCCATGCCAGTCACCTCGATCTAGGTTATCGTATCTGGGGCATTAAGAATATAGCTAATTTCAATGGGTACTACCCACCATCCACATCGAGGTTTTATCCTAGGTTCTATCTAGGAAGACATTTCTTTGACAGGGGTACGGTCGTCTCGCCCACCATATATATCATATTCATTCATCCAGCCTTAATTTGCTTGATGGCGGATACCCGTCTAACCCTGAACTCCATACCTAGCATATAAGCTCAAGTAGGCTAGTAGAGAAGATTAGGGCAACTTACCCAAACACAATCAAAGCTAGAGAAACAATGAAATCAGCTAGATAAACACATTTATTTTTAAAACCCTAAAATATTCATTCATTACATAATAACCCTAAAACTAGGGTTTGAGATTTACAACCCATAGTACCTTAGAGGACTCATAAAGGAGGGAAGAAGATACATAGAAGAAATGGGGGAAGACTTGATGTTGAGGAAGATGAATCCTCTCTTCTAGCTCCTCCTCCTTCTTCTCCTCTTCTCCTTCCTTTAGATTCTTTCTCTTCTTTCTCTCTCTAACCATAAATTTCTATCTCAAAATCATCTCTCTCAAATGGGGAAAGAGGGTCATCTATTTATAGCGTTTAGAGGACGAGCAAGTTCACGGCCAGGAAGGGTGAAGATCGCAGTCGCGATCTTCTTCATTGAGACCGTGATCTATTGATGTTGCCATTTTGGCCTTCAAACGTGAGGGGTTCTTGGGCTGACTTCGTGGTCGCGATCGGTGAGTCGCTGCCTCGAGCTTCCTCTCGATCAATGTGAACTGTGGGTGTGATCAGACTGGGGAAACTCTATGTTTCTCCTCGATTGGCTTCTTCATGAAGTTTGTTCCTAAAGTCCGTAGATTCGCGGCCGCGATCTTGGGCTCTGAGGTCGCGATCTTCGCCTTGAGTTCGCAGTCTGTGTCTCGGCCGTGATCATCGGCCTTCTGCTCCTTTTGCTACACTTGTGTCCTTTTTCGTACCTAATTCGCATGTATTGTCTAAAGCACCCTAAAATCATATCATAATGAAATAGAAACGAAATAGGGATGCAATCGATGCTATTCAAACGAGAATGTACCTGAATTATCACGAAACAAACCTAAATAAGAAGGGTAAATAACACCTTAGGTGTTATCAGGGAGCCGTTTTAGATGAAGGAAATTGATGCAAGGAGAAGACGACGACGTTTTCATTATTAGTTAGTTATATTTACGATTTGTTGATTTGGACGAATGGTGTTAGGCCACGTCAAAGTTACTGTTACCAAACAGTAAAATTTGAATGGTATAAATAACATAAACGCAACATCACTACAGTCGAGTATTTCCCAATTCTTATCCTCTTCCTCTTTAAAGTTTTCATTTGTTTGCCCGACAAATCATAAATCCTTTCCTGTTAATGTATTGTAAATTGGATAAGCCCCAAACCTAAGAATGCATTAAGAGCCATTACCAATTTAGGCAAAGAGTGTCGAAGCGGGAGCGGATCCTATCAATAACTCTATGGTGAGTAACCATGAGTAACCCAATCAAAATCCACCACATAATCACTCCTCTCTCTCTCTCTCTCTCTCTCTCTCTCTCTCTCACTCATTAAAAGCTTTTAATCTTTGCACCTTGAATCTTTAACGGACGATTTCTCTCTCGTTTTAAGTCGGATTTTTTTTACACAGTTAAATCAGATTAATTGTGTTCTTCAAAATGATATTCACTTTAATATATTTTTTAATAAAAAAATAGAGGTATTTTTATCGGTCTATACCATGGTGGTATTGATTGGTATTAAAATAAGAGCATACCATATGGTATGAACAACATACCATGGTGATATGAACATACCAAGACTATAGGATGGTTGACTACATGATAGTAAAAGTATACTAACTGTCATTTACGATTTACAACATTGTGTACCACAAGATACTACCCCTATACCAGGATGGTATTATGTGGTATTTTTTTGTCCTCTATTTTTTTCACCCATAAATTTTTAGATCTAATAGATCATGACGAAATCGTTCATTTTGTGCAAAATTTTTCAAAAACTACTTAAAAACGAATGAGATACCATATGGTTTGGAGTTGGTAGCGAGAAGTAGTGAAATTTTTTTCTCACAAATATTAAAGATTGATCTCATTTTGTAGAGCACAACAAACTCGTTTCATCTGTTCAAAAAAAATTAAAATCCGAGGTAGAACGAAGTAGATAAGAGTCGATTAACAAAGCTAGAAAAAAAATGAAATGCCTTTAATTCCCGGTCCTTAGATTTGAATTTTCTAGGCCCACTAAAAAAGGAAGATTCATATTTAGTTATGCATGGAAGATTTTTTTCACAGAATACACACGTTCTTAAAAAATTTCTCAAAATACACACGTTATAATTTTTTTTTTCAATCTACACATGTTTGGGCTTTCACCGCAGCCGACCAAAGCGGTGAATGCTTGACCTGCGTTGAAACTTCAAACGAACGTAACTTTGCACTCGGTTATCCGATCGTAGCGGAATTTTTTTTATTCCGTATAATTATTCAAGATCTTGCAAGCCACAAACAGGCGTAGGCGGTTGGGTCTCGCCTTCGTCCCGAAAATACGTTGTTTGCTACCCTAAACAAGCAATTTTTCGATTTCGCCAGACTTTGACCGGTCATAATTTTGTGTTCCTCAATCCAAACGTTATGAATTTTTTTTTCACATAACTTTTTAAGGACTACAACTTTACGTTCATTTGAAGTTTCAACCAAGGTCAGACATTCACTGCTTTGATCGGCTGCAGTGATGCATTCACCGCTTTGGTCGGCCACAGTAAATGCGCAAACATGTATAGATTGATAATTGTTTTTTTAATAACATGTGTATTTTGAGGTTTTTTTTAATGTGTTTATTCTGAGGAAAAAACCTATAAATGATTATACAACCTAACTTGAGGTGTGTTGGAAGACCAATATACTATTCAGTCTCCATTCAAATAATGCTCTCCAGTCTCCGCTCGGTTTAGCCGGTGACTTACCTTTTTTTGGTAAGTAAAAAAAAAGAAAGGAGGAAGGAAGTCTCTTGGGTTGGGTAACACTAGAACTGTATAACAGCAGAAAGCACTGAGAAATGCAGGACGCTCTATCGGAGCCTCTCGATCTCAAAGCAATTCGGAGGTCTCTCGAAGTCATTCAAGCTTCTTACTCTACCTAGCTTCCTATATGCTTACCAGTCGCCGTCTTTTGACTTGTTTTCCCTTTTCTCCTTCACTCCCTGCAGTCGAATTAGTGAGCTTGAAGAAGTTTACCGGAGCTTCAATGACGAGGACATGGTGTCTTCGGATTCAGACAAGTTGATGATTGACAGCGCTCTTCAGCCGGAGGTATAAAATTCTCTATTCATTGGGTATTACAACTATGCTCAAACTTCGGTCTTCCATTTTCTACATCTGTGTTCTTCAGTTTCAGAGCAGAGTCGACCAGGTTTTGTCGGGTCTCTCCGACGTCAGTTTCTTAGGGATTTCAGATTTAGGTAAGGTTTCACTCCAATGGAAATGGTGATTTTGTGGTGGTGTGTCTGTGTGTGAATAAAAGCTTCAGAGAAGCCCTGGTTAACTAGTGCTGTTTTAACTTATCGGCGAGAATTGACTTACTGGTGTAGATGCATACTTAGAGCACTTGAGGGAGGAGCTCACCGCGGCGGAGGCTGATAGTGCTAAGATCACTAGTGAAATTGAAGCTATCAATAGGACCAATCTCCAAGGTTGACTGACACTAAAGATCCATGCTTTGAAACACTTGTATTAATAAGAAATTTTTAACGAAAATTGATCTGTTTTATGATGCTTCTTCTTCTTCTTCTTGATCTTCTCTTTCAGATTCCAGTCAACTAGAGAGGGATCTTGAGGAGTTGAAGTGTTCATTGGACCGTATTTCTTCAGAGGTTTGCTTGTAATGCTTTGTTCGTATAATATTCTCGAAATGATAGCATTATTGGTCTTGATTGAATTTTACTTATGACACTTTGATGAGCTGGAGATGAAAGAATTTACTTGCACCGATCTACTCCTAAGCTTGAATTTATGTTTCCAAGGGTTGGGTATTCGGGTTTACCTCTTTGTTGTTTAGATGATTGTCAGTCCTTTCTACATAACCATGCAGACTAGAGTCAGGTGCTAGCATTCCTGGATTCAAGCCTTCCAATGCAGCTTTAGGACCTGGAAACTGAAATTGAGAACTAATTGCTTGCCTTCCTGGATTTGGTCCTTGAAATATAGCACAACTAGGGATTGAGAAAACTGAGACTGAGAAGTTCACATCATGTTTAGATTTCATGTTTTAAAATGGATGCTGAGGGATCACCTACCCTTTTGCTTAATTGGTCTCATTTATGTTTATTATTTGGTAGGATTTACCTCAGGCATATGATGGTGCACGGCCTGCTTACTCACTGCATGAGGATTATCAATCCAATTCATTACAGACAGATCATGATGAGAAGTTTGAGGTATCCTTGCTGTGGTTTATTAATACTGTTTTGATGTCTACAATTGTGTGTGATATGTGAAACTGTCGTTCAGATTATGAAGCTTGAGAATCAGATTGTGGAAATCACGGCAATGTTGAAATCTTTGCAAGATCTCGACTCTTCAGTCAAGAGGTTAGCAATTTGTTTTAGGCTTGTTGTTTGCTCTTCTATTCTTTTACTTAGAAACATTCTTTTTCTTTTGAACATTGCCACCAGGTTTTGATGCATTGGAACAAATTGAAAACACATTCTCAGTTCTGGAAGTCATTGAAATTGATGGAAACTGCATTAATTTGTCAGTGAGGACTGATTTCCTGAAATTGGAAGATGTCTTGTGCAAACAAAGAATTGACGATATCAGCGAGCTGTCTGAAGTAGTTCACAACGTTCTCATAGAAGCTTCCAGTGAGACAATGGAACTTAAGAATGTTGAGGTATGAATTCATTCTTGTATGAATTAAAGATGGTACACAAGCCAGCAGTTTTCAGCCATTTATACAAAGGAATAATCCACCACCATAATGTTCTAGCAGTATCCTTAGCATCTTATTGTGAAATATTAGTGTGCTGAATTTGTATACTAGTCAGGCGGGATCGATTCAGATGTGAAAAGGATTGCATATCTTCATTGAAACTTGCATATGCAACTTATTTGACTACCTGTCCGAACCTTTAGGGTTATGGTTTAATTAATCTTACCTATGGAACTAATCTCAGTGAAGATAAGAATTTGATCATGTTGTCACCTTCAGAGCACCACCTATTACTTGGGTAATATGAAGGCCCAGTATATTCTGACAAGTGCAGTGAAAGTAAACAAGGAGCTTTTGTTGTGCATGTGAAACCATAAATATGTGTTATGTAATAACCAATCCTTAAATGTCTTCATGATATCTGATTTTAAAACCTGGGTATTGCTTGTGAGGAAGGACTAAATAATTGTAAGTGATGTCATATCAACCAAGAAGTTGATGATGATGTTCCATGTTGAGGCTGAATGCAAATGGTTTATGTGACCATAAATGCTGAATTGCCATGGCAATTGAAGTGCACAAGTGCTTTTTCTTGAATGAAGTGCACAGCAGAAAAAGATTCTCTGTTTTTGTTTTTTAATCTTCTGCAACATGAAAGTTTTTGAATATATAAAATGAGGTATTTCATTTCTTGATTCACTTGCTAATTTGTCCAGATTTTTCCGAATGATTTATTCATTGGCGATATCATAGGTGATGCCAATTCATCCAGGTATTCATCTTTTCCTCCAGGCATCCTTCTCCTAAAGTTTGAGATTTAGATGTTTCTGTTCCTTCCCTCCCATCTCCCCAACCTACATGCACTCCCCTTTTGGAGTTGAAAGTATTTGCAGAGAATGCTCTTATCACACTAGTCAATCTGGAATAGCATCATCTATACTCCATCTTTTGCCTGTTGCAAAAGGCGACTGAAGATACCTTAGTTATGTATACTCATGAAAGGTCAATTATTTTCAATCTTCTTGATATTGCTGAATTTTTTTGTTGAATCTTCTGGTTGCAGCCATTCTTTCACACATGGTTCCCTCCCGGGGACAAGTTCCTTACTGCAATGGTTTATAATGAAGCTACTAGACAGAATAAGAGACTGCAATTTAAGAAGATTGGTGGCTACAAGTGCTAGCAAATCAAGGTACTGCTATGTTTAAGAAATGAAGTTTATTAGTACTTGGACAGATCACTGCTTTAGCTTCCACAATTAAGAGGTACCTAATCGGAGCGAACACTGGCAGGCATTCCTTTGAATACTTGGACAGAGACGAAACTATCAAAGCCCATTGGTGGGAGGAGTTGATGCTTTTATAAAAGTTCCCTCAGGATGGCCTTTGACGAGTTCGCCTCTGAAATTGACTTCCCTCCAGAGCTCAAACCAGCTCAAGGAAATCTCCTCGAGCATTCTCTGCAAGATTCAGGTAATCAATTTAACTTCTTTGCCATATAGCCTGCCCAAGGAAAGGAATGATTGTTCTAGCCTTAGTGAAGCTGACAATAGTACTTGAAGAATGAAGTGATGAACCCAGTTCCATCTCATTTACTGTTCCTGCTTTCTGATCTGAAATCCACAGGAAGCAGCAAATTCCTTAGATTCACGAATTCGACACCAGCTGCTAAGCTTCGCTGACGAAATTGAGCAAGAGGTGCTGTCGAAAAGTGCAGCTGGAACACCACCATGATAATAATTCTTCCTCTTGAAATTTATTCATTTCAGTAGGATGTCAAGATTGTTACTAATCTGCGACGATTATATATTCCGTTTTCAAAATGCATGGTTTCTCAGGTCATATAATCTTCATCTGGTTTCATCTTGGTACGAAAATCATCATGTATTTTAGACCTCATGTAACTACATAATACACTTGACACTTCGTGACCACGTTTCATATTGACGTGACATGAACAAAAAAACAAAATATTTTGTAAAAGTCAAACGAATTTGAATCTAGGTAAATTTATCGGCAGGAAAATTTTTAAGTCAGTAACAGTGATTTGATGATCAGAAGAGCTTGCTTAAATCGGGAGGAGAAAGAGTTTGATATGTGAGAATTCGTGCAGCAAGTTCAGTCGGATGGAAGCTGTCAAAGAACAAGTACTTGTCAGCAGCAGCGCAGGTCCCTGGGACTACACAGAGCACCCCACTCTCTATGTTCCCGGTGCCACAGCACCCTCTTTTAACCTCTTCAATCCCGTATGGAGCTGGATTCTCGGCGAGGGAAACGAAATGATTGTAGAGCTCGAACTTCACAGCTTTGGTTCCTGGAAGCTCTTGATTCATCTGATCAACCATCAGAGACAGCTTGGAGTTGAACAGCCTGATGCGCCTGTTGAGGCTCTCCGAACACTCCCTCCTCGGTCCACCCTGCGAGGATCGTATCGCTGGTGCACACCCCGTCGGAGGTAACTCCACCAACCCAATTCTTCTTGCTCCAGCTTCATATAGTTTCTGTACGTTCGCATAGATTATAAATCAATCAGTTTGCTATTTCATTATAGCATTGGAGTTGGTCTGGTTCTGGTTCTGGTCTTACCTTGTGGAAGTCTAGAGCTAGGCTGATCATAAGATCGGTGTAGGATTCTTCGGTGTACCGGTAGTCGACGGTTTGGGTACGTGTTGGTGAGGTCATTGCTGCCCATGAAGATGATGTATGCGCTCTGGGAAATGATTTCTTGTGTTCTTTCTGGGCCAACGCTTGCATTGATCCTCTTTATGTACTCTTTGAACATGTTTAGTTGAGTCATCATCGGTATTGCGTTCTTCACGTCAAGAAAGCCAGAAAAAAAAAATGAAAGAAAAGACCAACATTAAACTGATGTAGTAGATCAATTAATATGATGCATAAGCCACACCAAGCAATGGCGGAGGAGTACCGATGGAGCAACGACTCACCATTTTTTGGGGTGTTCGAGGGTCGTAACCGGAACCAGCAGAAGCAAAACACACGCCAGTAAGCAGTTCTTGGAGGTCCAAGCTTGGATCCAAATATGGTGGCAAAAGTTGTTTCACTCCCAAGACTTGAGCTGAAAAAAAGTTGTGATAGCAGAAATTGAGAAATACAGAGGCTTTTTTCATTCAGACATCTGGAATAACAGATGGAGAAGTTGGCTACACGTACCAATGTAGTCGGCGACTCCTTTGGCATTGCTGAACCTGCCGGTGGCTCTTCCGCCGGCGAAGTCTCGGCCGTAAGGTGGGAAGTTTCCCTTGGCGATGGTGTGGACGTAGTTGTTGTTCCCTGTATCAACCAACGAGTCTCCGAACACGAACACTGCTGGCACTTGATTCTTCTTATTATAGCTCTCTGCGGCGGCGGCGGAACAAATCAGCAGTGCTAAGATGCAAGCAAACAGAACATGCAGAGTCGCCATTGGAAGTTGAAAGGAAGAAGATGATCGATATACTTGGTGGAGTGCTTAAGGGGTTTATATAAGGAGAAGAGAAGGAAGGGTATGGTTCGAATCGTATCTCTGGAAACAAAGTCGTCGGATCTAACAGCTCAAGAACAGCGCTGTCAGCTGGGATTTTACATATTTTCATCACATGTGTCCTCCAAAATACCTGCAGGCGATAAGAGTGGCAAACTAGTGCTCATGCACGTTTCCGTATACATATTAGATAGAACTCGTGCCCTCCTGATTATTTAAATAGTAAGTTATTTTTGCATAGATACGACCAGCGTAGAATCCATGGTTGCTTGCGCTTCGTTGCAGAAATTTGAAGGGTTCTTAAGTTACACTAGCTTCTTGCCCGGCCTTTGGCCGGGATAACTGTTGTTCAGGGTTGGTTGTGCCATCCACTTTCCCTTTTTTTCGTCTACGGGTATTTGATGGGTCGTTTATTATCCTTATCGTTATACTGATTATATGTGTCTCCATTTTCTGTTGATGTTTTGAAATTACCATATATACTCTTGACAGACAATAGTTTGGATGTAGATTATTTAAATTTACAATGGTTAACACATCATAACATAGTCATTTGGGACCAACGTTGTACTTCACAAACATGAGTATGATGAAAAACCTACAGTTTCGTAATATAATTAAAGTATCGTTGTTGTGTGATGACTATGTGCATAACTGAATGTGCCGAGTACTTGGGAGCTTTTCATTTGTTTGTTGCTACTTGAATTTGCAATGATGTGACGGCCAAAAATTTCTCGTTGTTGTTCGAAGCGGGCATTAGTATCCTGGTTCGTTCTTGTAAGCATCGAGTGGGGGATGGTGTGCCTTCAACATCACTTTAAGACTCTGGTTTGAGGGGCTTTGTAATCCAAGTACACTGGACAAACAAACCAAAGAATTATGAATAAAGATAACAGCTTTATGAACAAAATCAGCAACCCATAAACTTGAATGCCAATGTCAATGATCAGAGTCCCCTCACCAGATCTTTCGGTACGCCACTGGTGACTGGTCACATATGTAATTGGGGCATACAGGGCATCGGTTCTGATCATAGAGACCAAAGCTAGACATACAAAGCAATATGAACTTTGCCATTCTGCACATAAGAAGTAGAAGAAGAATAAGCGAAATATGTACTCGTGGTTGTATCATGGGTGTGTGAAATCTATAAGTGCTTATATTTTGTGGGAGCAGCGAATATCAAACAGTAGTGAAGCCGAAAAAGAGAAACAACAAAACCAAAAGGAACACTGAATTTCTAGGCGATGAGACAAATAACACAAATTCTCAACCCTAGAATCAAACAGTAATCGATTGAGAAACAATCAAAAGCCAAACAGAGTCCTGAAACATCATTCTTTCTCCGGCTCATCAAAACAGAACCCATAATCCAAAACTAAACGCTAAACATCCCCAGGATAGGGAATACAAATCCCACAAGTTGCACAAATTCTTAATACTGGAATCAAACAATAGCGATTAGAATTATCAAATCAAAACCCGAACCCCAAAATTCAGTGGCGATAAGCACATCCAGGAAAGGGAAATACTAACCGAAAAAACAGTAATAATATCCAAATTACCTGCAGAATCACAAAGAAGTCGAAAGGGGAATATTATGATGTTGGTGGCATTCGAAAGACGATTGCCTTCGGAGGAATCTGGGGTCTTCCATACGGTGGTCATGAGAAACGAAGAGGAACTATTAAGGGGGACGATAGGAAGGGCATACCATCTCTGTGGCGGAAAAGGGAAATCAATTGACGGAGGAAAAGGGAAGAAGATAGAAAGTGAAAGAAAATTGGGAAGTTGTCGCCGTTTGAGTTAGAAGAGTGGAAATCTGGGGAGTTATGGAAGGCGGATATGTATGGTGAAAATTTGGGTATGGACCTTTGTAGATTTAGTGAGAAGAAAACTGTTGGGGTTGGGAAGAGGGGGGATAGGGAGGAGGGGCCTGGTTTTTTCACGGGAGAGGAAGAAGGGAGCTTTTTAAGGGGCTGACGTGGGTAGTTGCATTGAGACAGGATTTGAGATTGTAAATAAAAAAAATAAAAAAAATACAAATGTACTCCGAAAGTTGCGGGGAGGCATTCAGTGAGAAAGCCTTTATAATATTTTATGATTATTATTATTATTATTATTATTATTATTAAGCCACAGAATTATTAAGCCACAAATTTACACAAAATTCGGGCACTGTTCATCAAGATATTTTCGGAGTTACTGTTCATAATGGGTCAACAATATTTTGTTGTTGTTTTTATTGAATCCTATGTAAAACTGCTTTGGGTTGACCAAGCAATAACCATTGGATCTCAATTTTCCAGCCGTTGGATCCCTATTGCTACACGTCCTCTCTCCTGCGGTTTCGTTTCTCTCTTCGTCTTTTCCCATTTCATTCCATCTTCTCCCCAATTTATTTTCCGCCCTTAGAATCAATAGACCCAAACTAAGGCCTCGGCGGCGGTGGGGAGTCCGATTCAACGATTGAAGAAAAGCACCCAAAGTTCGTTGTCGGCCGTATCGGATGAGTGTTCAGAAAGAAAAAGATTATCGCATCCCCTCTGTTGTCTGAACCTCTCTTTTCCCTCCGTCTTTTGCCGTTGGCTCTTCAATCTGTCTTTTCCCACTTCCTCGATTCAGTTGAAGCAGGCCTGAGGGAGCTGAAGCTCTCCCCCGCTCTCTCGCTACCGCCTCCTCAACCTGTCTCCTTCTAGGATGACAAGACCGGCAGCGCAAAGTAGTTCCACATCTAGGAACTCAGGCAAAGATTTCCCCAGTTGAGACTTGGAATTGGGTAAGTACACAACTCTCCAAGACTTACCGAGCTCGACCACAATTTGATTCCTTTAATTTTTTTTTTATAGATTTCTCATTAAATTGACAATGCTTTTTGACAAGCCTGCTTCTTTCACCCTTAGGTTATACTTATATGAACTCAAGAATAACAGAACCATCTTTTACCTATATCAAGGGTAGGGATTTTTAATTTGAGATTCGTTGTGGAGGGTGGTGATAGAGCCCAGTGGTTTGTCCCTATAATCAATCATTTGTTTGCTCATAAAAAATTCCTAGACATTGAGTTACCTCTTGGACTTCCAAGCAAACCTAGCTCTGCAAATTCTTATTCAAAGCGACTTTATATATCCAATTCTGGAATAGCTTCTTATGAATAGAGTTCTAGGGCAATGGTACACCCAACTTTTTGAGTTTGATAATTAAGTGTCTAAAAAAGCAAGGTTATTTCCAATCTACACTGATGAAAAATTGATCTGGAGTTTAAAAACACTATAGATGATTGCTTTGTGTTGGTTGTTATTTTTATTTCCCACTTTTGATTGTAGTGTATAAAAAAACAAGATCCTTTGTGAATTCTGATGTACAATGAACAACTGATTTTATTTTGATACATTGGATTTGAGCTGTACTAAATGTCTAATACCAAGTTAAAGCCTCTGTAGTCAAACAGTTACTCATGTTGCAGCTGTGAAGTTTAGAGCTGTCTAATTGTCAAGTTATTATGGTTTGTCATTGGTAGTCAGAGTAATCACTATGAGTTGTATTACTTATAAAGGCTGCATTTGTAGTCCCCATCTACCTCCTAATCGAGATAACGTGACTGATTGGTTTGCAATTCCGTACGGGGTGGACTTGATTCAAATTGAACAATTAGGGTGCTAATATGGTACTGCTACAACATGTGAATCGATTCATGTTTTGCTACTTCATCTCTACCATTGTGAATGGACCAAACCTTACCTTATAACTCATTTTAGAGTTCAGACTCACTCAACCATATGATAGGAGGTAGGTGAGACTCTATTTGCAATCCGAAAAGATTCCTGGAGTTGCAATGCAAAGGCACTTGCTCTTTTCATTGATAGACTTTATCAGCAGGACTAATTGCCATGGTTTTCATCTTCGCTTTCCCATCATACTATGTAATGCATTCTTCCATCCAAAACAGAACCATATAGAATGCCTGAGAGCTCAGTGATTTTGTCAATACTGTCAGGATTTATCTTCTTGATGCTTCTAAAACAGTGTTCCCCAATTTGAGCTTCAATAAGTTGTTGCGTCAGTTAGTTATGGTGTTTCCAGAGAAGATAAAGGAGTAGCTTAATCAAACATATGAAACAGTTGAGTGTGATGATGTCAAGTAAAATCAATATGGTGGCATTACTCCTTTTAGCAGTTCATTGTTGGATTTAGGATATGTTTGTGAGTATTACAACTTAAGCTGAAAGATTTTTCATCCACCAAAGAGTCACGTCACATGTTTGACGTTTTTATGGTGTTGTTTGTTGGGTATTAAGTAATCTCTGGTTCCACTGGACCAGAGAAATCAAGGGGAAATAGTGAAACTGAGATTCCACTAATTCAGGTTTCAAATATATGTGTATAAGTATTCAGTAATAGGAGAAATCAAATACCCTATTGAATATAACTTTTGTATGTGGTTTGCTGAGATTACCGTCAAGTGTCACTACCTTAATTTTGTCAGCAACACATGGAATCAATGAGAGGAGTAAAGGGGAGAAATTTATGAAACTCCCCATACATATCTATACAGATGACCATATGAATAGTGGCCTTACGATGAGCTTTATCCCACAATGTAGTTCGTTTTTCAGTTCTCAAGGTACTTTATTGCTTTGTTGTAAAAGCTTTCTGTTTTTTTATAGTTTTTAACCACTTTCTATTAACAATCATCATATAAGCTAACAGAGAATTAATTTATTATAGAATCTTCAGCCGACATGAAAAATATGAGAAATGGAGTACATATAAATGGAGAAGAAAGATGGAATCCGTATTCATGAAAGGTGAGTCAGAGAATGTGCAAAAAGGTCTTCTTATTCATGAAACCAGTAGTTAACTCTTTTATTTAGTTTCACATGACATACTGCCATGTACCAATGTACAACTACCATTAACTGCTTAATGTTTAGCATAAATGTAATTTGTAACAGTACGGAGAATTTCACAGCTTGCACTGCTCTACCAAATACTTCCAAATTCCGTGGCGTAGCACGGGCTTACATCCTAGTAGAGATATAATATAGATCACTGGTCTAATTCGGTGGTGCACAAGGATGAAGTCAGGATTTTGGGGCCGGAGGACAAAATTGGGTCAAAATTGAATAGTTATGCGTATTCTTTACTTCAATAAAATAAGTTAAAGTAATGCATAAATTTAAAAAATTTCATAAAAGGAATTAAGAGTTTACTATGAATATGCTAGTTAAATTATGTTGTTTTCATACCGAGTATGAATCAAACAAAATAAGATATCTAATGACACAAATAATGAAGGTAATGACTATAATAGTCAAAAAAAACATTTGGATTCTTTTTTATTATTTAAACCTATCGAAATACTAAGAATTAGCCAAATGTTAACTTTCCGTTAGCAATTTTGTTAGTAATATTAATTTTACAACATGAATATGCTAGTTAAATTATGTTGGTTTCATACCGAGTATGAATCAAACAAAATAAGATATCTAATGACACAAATAATAAAGGGTAATGACTATTTATTAGCCAAATTTTTTTTGGATTCTTTTTTATTATTCAAACCTATCGAAATACTAAGAATTAGCCAAATGTTAACTTTCAGTTAGCAATTTTTGTTAGTAATATTAATTTGACAACATGATACTGACTTGGAAGAGACACATGAAGGTCAACACCCATCAACATTTTCCCCATATCAATAGCTAATGGGTGAAGGCCATGGGAAGAAGCAAGTTCGAGCTTGATGATGGCGGGGTGGACGACAAACTGAACTCTCCACATTGTTTTACGTGAGACATTTGAAGAAGGTTTTTCAAAAAAATTGTGATGAACCAAGAGTTTGACGATTTTGATAAATCGCTGATAATGTGCATGGATTTTAATGGTTTCTGTTGAGGGTGTTACTAAATACTCCGTTCACAGACTAAGTAGTAGGGCGCACAATCGGCGATGCGTGACGCGCGATACGCGCTACAGGTATATAAGGGCTTGAAGCCCCCCAAAGGAGGGACTTCTTCTCTCTCCTAACTTTCCACTTTCTACTATCTCTCTACACTTTATCTCTCTATCTATCTCTCAACTCTCTCCTCAAACAGACACTGACTTGATCGTTGGAGCTCAATCAGGGGGGCATCCCCGGTCTTTTTCACAGGTTTTTTTCCCTCCCTACGAGATCATACGAACGAATGACGAGTCGACCCACACAACAAATATCATTGTTCGTGTCCTGAGCTAGATGGCACAAACAATTGGCGCCCACCGTGGGGCTGATTTCACATTCGTTTACTTGATTTCCGAAGGATGGAGGGATCGCTGCAATCGCAAGCTCACAAAAGCTTCGTCGGAAAGAAGGAAGGAAAGGAGAAGATATCGAGCCGAATCTGAAATAAATAAATAAAAGGAGATCTGGATGTTCGAGAAAGCAGAGAGTGGGCGACTTGCAGAAGAAAGTGAAATCTCCCTTCGCTAATCTGAGCGGCGACAACAACCATCGAGAAGAGAAGAAGCATCAAAGCTTGTATAAAAATCACATTCGTCTTTTCCATGGCTACTGCAGAGTATAGAAGAAGAGTTACACAGATTATTAAACAAAAAAAGAGAGGGGCAGAAACTCGCATCTATTCCCAAAAGCAAGAGTCGATGTCACCGAAGAGCAAGAAAAGCAAAAAGCAATCCAGATTTCGGTAGCTTTACTGTCGGCGTCGAACATCCGGTGAGGGAGAAACCTTACTGTCACACAGCTGTCACGTCGACATAGTCCTCCTCCCACTTGCGTAGCCTTGTAGACGAGCAGTACGAAAAAACAAAGGAAGCTTCTCTCTCGGTCAGAAGAATGAGACCAACGTGCTTTAAAAAAAAAAAAAAAAGGGGGCATGGCGGCAGAATACTGCCCGCCTCCATTATCAAATCTCACCTGCTGCCCTAGCCGCGTCAGCCATCATCAATCCCGCCTGCAACAGACAACGTGGGCCCAGTCCACCTCACCACTTGTCCAAGTC